ACTAGTTAATACTTAGCAGCTACACAAATTTTGGTCTCTTTGTCACTGTAAAAAGAAACTGAAAAGTTTATACATATCAGAACATAATAAAAATCATCTGTTCTTTACCAGGTCTTAAAATTAAATAAATAAAACTTCAGGCAAAGTACAAAACATTTCCTATAATGCTGTGTCATTGTTTATTGAACAAAACCTTATCCAAAATGCACAATCAGAGTGTCAAATTTAAGTACACCCTTACTAGTTCCTTGGGAATTAAAAAGATAAGTAGCCACGGGGGGCTGCAAATTAAATTCACGTCATTAATTTAATTCGGGAACCCAACCACGGCCACAAAATCAGATTTTTTTGGCAGTTTTCTGGTCTGGAGGAAGAAGTGGAATAAATTCAAGACATTCTTCCTAGTAGTAGAGATCTTGGGAAATTCACCCCAAGGTTACAGTGCAATGCTCAGAGAAAGTGCAAAAACCACCAAAACAACCAACCAAGCAAAAAAACAATCCAAGAACTACATCTCAGACTCTACAGGCCTCAGCTACCATGTTAAATTCAAGATTTAGAAAAAGACTGAACAAGTACAGTGTGTCTGGAAGGGTTCCCAGGAGAAAGCCTCTTTCTAGAAAGAACACAGCAGCACTCATTATCTTTGCAAAATTTTATCTGAACAAACTACAACACTTCAGCAACTGTGTTTTTTGGACATATGTGACTAAAGTGCATATGTTTGGCCATAATGCATAATACATAAAAACCAAACATTTCAGCACAAACACCTCATACCAATTGTCAAACCCAGTTGACAATTAGGTGATTCTTTGGGCTCATTATACAGCAACTTGGCTTAGGCACCATGTAGTCTGCTGCTGCTATTATTTATTATTGTTTGCTGGGTTTTTTGTTGTTGCTACGGTATTTAAACGTAGAATGGGAGGCAGAGCCTTCAGCTTGCAGGTCCCTCTTCTATGGAACCAGCTCTCAGTTTAGATCAGTCTTAGAGATTTCTTTTTTTGATGAAGTTTTAGTTTAGTTTCCAGCATCAGGCCTAAAGTGCTGGGGAGTGCTTCTCATGACACACTGTTTCTTCCTCTTAATCACCACTTTTCACGTTTGTTTGTACACCACCCTGTATTCAATCCTTAGTTACTTAGCTGAACTAACGCAATTTTAATGGAATTCCACAGATTTTACAGTTAGAAATGAATTTATAAATGAATGACAATTGAAGTTTTTCCTTTACCTGCATGCTGTCTCCTATCCACCAGTAAAAGACAGTCAGGTTGGCCTCACTGGGAAGGACAGTAGCAGTGAGATTGACCTCATGGTTTCTCCCAGCAATGGGAACCACTTCTAGGTGTACTTCCTGTAGTGGGGCTACAAGAAATGAAATTCTATTAAAATAATAAGAAAGGGTCAGACTCTACAGGCCTCAGCTACCATGTTAAATATTAAAGTTCGTGTCAGTAGAATTAGAACATTTCTAACTGACAAATAAGAAGTGAAAAATGAAGTGAGATTCAGAACGGTCTCCACCATATTTGGCAAAGCTAGACAGATATGAGAGGAGCGAACCAACTGGCAAAAGATGATTTCATCACGTTTTTTCCCTGCTAGGTATTAATAGAAATTCAGGACAAATGAGTATAGATGTTTGTGACAGGCAGTGTGAGCTTCAGTGATGAGACATCAGCAAAAACTCCACCTCCAAGAAAGAAAATACATTTTAGAGGCTGTCTAATTAAAAGACAAGGAAGTTCACCAGGAAACCCAACCTGTGACCTGGATGTACATGGTAGCCTCATCGTGTCCAGCCATATTCTCAGCCTTCACTTTGACCTTGTAAATGCCTGGATTTTCATAACGGTGCTGGATGGGTTCATCAGTCACAGTCAGGTTCTGGTAAATTGTCCGTACCCCATCACCAAGATCCACCTGATACTTGGTGCTGCTGGTGTCACCCTGTTAAAGAAAGATAATGTTCAACAAACTGAAACTGAATAAATGAGGAAAAAGTAAAAAGAAAACAACTTTTGTCCTACCTGCTCCTGGTGGACAGTGAATGTGATGTCATCCCCAGGTGCCACAGCCAGCATCTGCCCTTTTATGCCAACTCGTAATCCTTTAGGCGCGAGCAGGGGGCAGCTGTGCTTTTTAGAGCTCTGCTGCTTGTTTGGCTCCCCTTCACATGAGTTAGATATCATCTTCCTGTAGCTGAAACACAGCAGAGGACAGAGTGTGAAGTCAGGCGTGCACTCTTACTGAAAGCAAGATTAGAGAGTGAATAACAATGCTGGTAGGTGTGAACTTGAGACAGAGCTGGAGCTGGGTTGGAGAAAACGTAAAATCAACAAGAACAGACCCAGTGCTGGACATGTAGGTCTGTCCTAGGTGGCAGTCTTCAGGTGGTGAATCTGGATCATACCAGAAGTCAGCAATGCAGCGGTCAGTTTCCATGTGTGATTGCTCGAATCCATAATCACTACAAAGACATTTCAGCATCATAAAAATTAATAACTGTTCACTAAGCAAGAAAGTTATGCTGGTCTGAGCAAATACTTGAAAAAGTAAAGGCCTCAAAGATAACACAGCATGAAGTACATTTATATGGATACACCGTAATAACATGGGAATGGTTGGTGATATTAAAGTCCTGTTTGTGGCACATTAGTATATGTGAAGGGGCAAACTCCTCGAGGTGGGTGGTGACCATGGTGGCCATTTAGAAGTTGGCCATCTTGGATACAACTTTTGTTTTTTCAATAGGCCATGTGACACATCAAACTTATTGGTAATGTCACAAGAAAAACAATGGTGTGCTTGGTTTCCACGTAACTTTATTCTTTCATGAGTTATTTACAAGTTTCTCTTTGTTCACAGTCATTGACATGTCGAAGAGGTTAACACGTGAGGAGCGGATCGAAATTGTGTTGATATCTGGTGAACGCAGTAACCGGGTCATTGCAGCAGATTTCAATGCAAGACACCCTACGGGACCACCCATCTCCCATGCTACAGTCAGCAAACTGCTTGCTAAGTTTCGTGATTTTTGCCAAAATGTGGACGCAAGCAAACTGTTACTAATGAAGAAACATCAGTGGCTGTCCTAGCTTCATTCAGCAAGAGCCCACAGCGTAGCACTCACCGCATCTCACTGGAGAGTGGCATTAGTTGAACATCCCTTCGGCGGATATTAGCTTCTCACAAACGGCACCCTTACAAAATCCAGCTACTGCAGCATCTCAACGAGGATGACCCAGATCGGCGCACAGAATTTGCAGAATGGGCAAAACAAAAACTGGAACAGGACCCTCAGTTCACGCAGAAGATTTTGTTCAGAGATGAGGCAAACTTTTATGTGAATGGTGAAGTTAACAAACAAAACCACCGCTATTGGTCTGACACTAACCCATATTGGATGGATCCCTCCAAGACTGTTGGACCAACAAAAGTGATGGTTTGGTGTGGTATATGGGGTACAACGATAGTGGGTCCATTCTTCATCAATGGAAACCTCAAGGCCACTGGATATTTGAAATTGCTACATGATGATGTGTTTCCCTCTTTGTGCACTGAAGCTGGCATGTTCCCTGAGTTTTTCCAGCAAGATGGTGCACCACCACATTATGGGTGCCAGGTCTGAGCATTCCTAGATGAACAGTTTCCTGGAAAGTGGATTGGTCGTGGTGGCCCGAAGGTCTCCCGATCTGACCCCCTTAGACTTTTATCTTTGGCGCCATCTGAAGGCAATTGTCTATGGTGTGAAGATACGAGATGTGAAGCACCTGAAACTACGGATACTGGATGCCTGTGCTGGCATTTCTCCTGTGGTGTTGCTATCAGTGTGTGAAAAGTGGGAGAAGAAGGTTGCATTGACAATCTAACACAATGCAGCACATTGAACACATTTTATAAGTGGTCAGAAACTTGTAAGTAACTCATGAAAGAATAAAGTTACATTGAAACCAAGCACACCATTGTTTTTCTTGTGACATTACCAATAAGTTTGATGTGTCACATGGCCCTCTTCCTATTGAAAAAACAAAAGTTGTATCCAAGATGGCCGACTTCTAAACGGCCACCATGGTCACCACCCATCTTGAGGAGTTTGCCACCTCACATATACTAATGTGCCACAAACAGGACTTTAATATCACCAACCATTCCCATGTTATTATGGTGTTTTCCATATAAATGGCCCACCCTGTAGTGTGCACAGTGTCCTTTATTTGCATTTATAAACAATACATTTGCTTTTGTTTCCGCATTCTACTTTCAGATACAATAATAGAGGAAATATGATGTAATCTGAAACCAGTTCAGTGCATATTTACCAGTTGTAGTCTTTCTCAGTACACTGGCAGGGTTTGTTGGTCAGAGCTGATGTGTAGCTTTTTCCTTTTATGCAGAATGCAGTGTCCTTCCTCTTCCTGAACGTCCGCTCCTGGCCCATAATGCACTTTTCCTCCTAAGGGTGATAAAATCCATGTGCACACTCTGTAGCCACTTATATGTTTGTACAATCTGATACAACCAAACACAGCTCGAGAGCCATGACCTTAGAAATAGATAATTTCCCTTGGAAACTTCAAAAAGCTAGAATCTATAACACAGCTTAAATCATGTGAATGTGCTGCATCTCTGTGTGAGTCCGTGTGCATTACCTTCTGATCTGTGAACTGCCAGGAGTCATAATCAGACTCAGTGCACTGACGGGGAAAAGACTGCCTAAAGTCCACTTTCACCAGCTCCCAGTCTGACCTATAGCTGATGTGGCCAAACACACTGCAAGAAAACACACACACACACGCAGTATAACGAAAAAAGCCTTTTTTTGTCGGCACAAAGGAAAGTCTGAACATCAGGCTTTTTTCATTTTTTAGCATCAACACCTAAATGGTAAAGACAGGATATTTCCTTAATGTTCTGCTTGTTTGATAAAACATTAACAACGTTCTTGCTTCCAGCTGTTTGTTAGATTCTTTCCTCTGTGTTTCCTCAGAGTCACTGAGTTGCACTCACTTACACACCTGACACAAACAGCAGCAACTTCATTAATTATTCTAAGACTGGTAATTCACAACATGTGCTTTTCTAAAACACAGAGTGGCAGTTTTAAAATGTAAGTATTTATTTTACAGCATTATTGTGGCATTATTGTGTATGATGCAAGGGGCAACACTGAGATAATCTTTACCTAAACCATCTTGCAGCTTTACAAATGGATTGTATCTCTATTGGAAATGTAGCTCAAGTGATAAAGCCTTTTATCAAAGTCACAGTTCCCCATCCTTTCCACTAGATGGTGGTGTTCTACAGGAAATCACAGGTGATGCGCCATATTCCCATTACTGAACTCAGCTGTTTAATCTGTGTGTGTCTGTTAGAACATTTTTAAGCATACTGATGTGACTCAAATCAGTCACTCTGACATATGTTATTGGTTTGCAATCACTTCGTTGGAGTGCCGCGCAAGCAAGACTAATGTTGTCTTTACCAGCGTCGTTAAAAGGTAGTGACAGATGTCTCGGCTGCAGATTCACATATGCTGATGTTCCACTTTTTACCTCTGTTGTTCTTCTTGCTCTTACTTGTTTGATTTGGTCAAATACGGATTATCCTGCTTCTTAAATTTGGTGGATTTTTAAAGCAATTATCTGATTTAAAATTATTCCATGCTGTGTGGTACAGACTGTCAAAAAAGTTTGGATTTCAGTTTTGCTAAGGTAAAATTTGAAGTCTTATTTAGTAACAATTAGCAGGATCTGTGCTAATATTAGCTGATAGCTTACGACATCACCCTCCTGATCAAATATGGTAACCTCTGACTCCAAAATAACGACATGGCAGCTGCCCAAAAATACTTATCTTGAGTCTTTAATCTAATAAGTAGCTACAAACTGTCTATCTTTGTATACAGTCTATGATCACAATACGCCAATTTCAAAATTCTGAAAACCACCTATGGAGGACAAGGAGAAGATCCTGCCTTAGTAATGTGGATGAACGCATGTTTAACATTTCCATCCGTGAGTCTTATCTAGATTTTGTAAACAACATTTTGCTGGGTCACTGCAAACCTTTCAGTGTACTTCAGTGTAAAAATGTTTATTGCTTTATTTGTGTATTAATTCCCACCAGCTGTGGAGTTAATTTAGTTATTTCTTTGTCTACTGTTGAATGGGCGCTCCAGAGCATTAACACTTCTGTTAGTGGACAAACAACAGTCCAATCAGCTCAGTGAACACAAATCAAAACTTATTACAGTTTTTTCTGATTGCTTAAGCACATTTTTTGTAACTATTGGCTAATTTTGCAAAACTCTTCACACAAATAAGAAAACCTGTCACCCAATAATCAAAACATTGTAGTTCTCTTGCAAAAGCAAACACAGCTGGATTAACTCTTCACACCTTCGTAAAAATGGTGTTTCCGTATCAAACAGTACACACAAGCCATCATCTACTAAGCACACAATGCGCCAACTGCACACTGATGGTATGAATACAAAACACATCTGGCCTTTGCTTTCTCTGCGCACAAGGTAGGCTATGTCAGTTTGAGCTCATACTTCTGTCATAGATCCATAAGCATAGAGGGATCCAAACTTCAAGTACTGGTGTTTATTCAAACACATCAAAACAAACACAAGTGTTCATTTCCAAGTATAGGATTATTTGCAATCGCCATAATGACTATATGGGTTACTTGGTCTGCAGTGAACATGCTTCCTCTGCCCCAGCATCTGGTCATCTAGCAATTCTGTAAAGTAACAATTTCAGTATTTTTACATCAATGGTATTGGTGTGTTTCTCATTGGCATATGGCAGTGCTACAAATCTTTGTGCGAAGTGACTGTACTAACCGATTCTCATTTCAAGATGTCCTTATGGTACTTGCTACAGTGTAGCGGCTCGAGTTAGGCTGGACCCGTTGGCCAGCTACCCTCAGGGTCATTCCACGGTTGATGACATGGTCCACTATTGTAACTCTGATGTCATCAGCAATTCTATTTCTTACTCTTCCTACCCTTCCTCTCCCCCTTCCTCGTCTTCCTCTTGCTCCTCCTTGTCCTTGCCGTCCTCTTCATCCTACTTCTTCACCTCCACGTCCTCTTCCTCGGCCTCCTCTACTTCTCACTCTTTCTGCTCCCTCCATTGTACTCCGCACACACAGCTTACCTGTATTATAGTGCTTAGGCTGATTGCAAAGTGAACTAATTATCTAAAAAAGTTTTCACATGTGAAAGTGTGCCAGACAGTTGGCAAATTAGTGTTAATGATAGCCATACATGTGTATACTTTTGCTAGGAGTGTGTTGGAAATTTGGTAATTGAGTGTTGTGCAGTGAATTGTGCCTACAGTTTTGCAAAGTGTGTGTTACAAAATTGCAAACTGAGTGCAAAGCAGTTTTTGTGCTTTTAGTTTTGCAAACTCAGTGAGTGGTTTTGCTATAAGTCTGAATAGTTTTAGAGATTGTGCTACAGGAATCACAGTTAGTGTTTAAGCATTCAGAAAAAACTGTAACAGCTCCCTTTGTTAAACAAACAGAGCTAAGTAGGAGAAAACACATGTTTGTACATTGTTTTCAGGAGAGTTTTGTTGCAGAATGTGATTAGATACAAACCAGTGATGTGGTTTTCTATTATGTTTCTTACAAGTGGTTTAGAAGCAGCAGAATGAGGTGATTTCATGATCTCACAAAGCAGTATGTGCAGTAGAAACCCGCCTGTGCTGTCCTGATATTTGACTGGGTGTTATTAGTATGAGTGGTGGACGAGCTCTACTCCCCACCTGTCCTTGGTGCTAAGTCACTGTTCAAAGACTTCATTACGGGATGGCAGCCTCCGCCATCAAAAATCGAAACTCCGTGGCAAGGATATAGACCCTGGCTAATCTATCAGACATGAGCTGCCCTCAACACCCTTCCTTGGCCGCCGACCCTATCTCGCTGGAGTCAGTTGGATGGCACATATATATGTGTGTGTGTGTGTGTGTGTGTGTGTGTGCGTGTGTGCGTCTGAGTGTGTCTCAGCCCAGAGGCTGTGTGCCTGACATCTCTGATAATGGTGAGTGAGCTTGAATGTTCGATCTCTCCTCCTCATGTGTGTGTGCCTGCGCGTGTATCTGTGCGTGTGTGTGACAATCTCTTTGCCCTTCTCAGCAGATTACTGCTAGGAGTGAGTCTTATCTGTGTGCCAAGGTCTGGAGTCTAAGATGATGTGACAAGTGTCACTCCTGCTAACTTAGAGATGGAGAGATTTGGAGAGAGCGAGTGAGAGAGAGAGAGCAAGCAAGAGAAGACAGACTTTACGCCTAAAAAGATATGCACCTAAAGCTACCTGCAGTTGATATTCAGTACTCATAGAGTGAGAAGCCAAAGAAATCGAAAACTGTAGTGGTACCAGTTTTCAAGAACAAAAGAGTTATAGTAATTACAGACTGATGAAGATGATACCGATAAGCTATGAATCTGTTGATGGTAGATGTAATATTTTCTTTGAAAGTGCTGATCAGGAAGTACAGAAAAGGTCAGAAGGTTTTGCAAAATGCTTTTGAGGATTTCGAGAAACAATATGATAGGTTGCCAAACTCTATGCTACAGCATTAGGAAGTCAGGATTGGCAGAAATGTACGTGAGGCCAGGACATGAATGAGGACAGGGAGACAGGTGGAATTACAAACAGGTACTGGCTTTGACCCCCTTCTTGTTTACAACAGTGATAGACAAGCTGACAGATGCAATCAGGCAGGAGTCTTTGTGGATAAAGATGTTCACAGTTAACACTGTGATTGTGTAGGGAGGAGTAGGTGGGAGAGCCTGGAAAGGTGGAGGGATACGTTGGAGAGAAGAGGAGTGAAAGTCAGAAGAAGCAATGTGAATGAGAAAGAGTGACAATACAAGGAGCAGAGGTAGTGAAGATGGACAGTTTCAACTAATATGAGGCTGATGCTCAAATTTTTGTTGGGAGAGACCAAATGGACAGTATTAGAAATTAGTATATCAGAGAGACGGCTCAGGTTGAGTACTTTGAAGACAATGTTAGAGAGGCAAATAATGAGATAGTAAAGAGTTTGGACAAATAATGCTGTATATCAAGCTGCCAGGCAGAAGAAAATAAGAGCAATCACAGAGGAGGTCCATGGACCTAGTGAAGGAGGACAAGCAGAGCGTTAGTGTAAAAGATGAGGATGCAGGGGATATGGTGAGACAGAGGAAGGTGATTAGGCTGTGTTAGAGTGTAAAGGTTCTCAGGCCTTGGTTTAGCTCACTGGGATGAGCAGGCGCCCATAGGCCGTTTGGCTGAGAGTGGCAAATCCGAATCTGAATCCGACCCCTGTTCATACAATACTGTCTTTCAAGCTGTATATAAAGAAATGAGGGCTTATGGCTCAAGACTTATGCACAGCACCGTAGACGCTAACTAAGCTGCCTGTACTGCTGTACTAGTCTAAGCCTGCTCAGGATGCGTTCACAAATACTTAGCAGACTATGGGAGTAATATGTCAGCAGGTGAGTATGTAGGGGTCCTCTGCTCCCATCATTCTCTGCTTTAATGTGAAACTGAAGAGAAACTAGGTGCCACTCTCCAAAAAGGGGGACTGCTTTATTGGAAAAGAAAAATGAGCTCCTTTAAATGTACTCTATTACCCGGTAGACCTTTCAGACAACTTATTAAAAACGTATACGAGTACAGGAAGAGTTAAGGATACAATAAAAGGTAAATTGTAGGAGATGTAAGGTATTTAAATTCTTCTCCACAATGCTGAATAGATATGGAATATGAGAGAATATATTGTCAGCTACATAAAGGAAAGTTTGAATTTGTATTTTTTTAAAAGGCACCTAAAATTTCAGACCCTTTTCAGTTAATTTAACTGAACAGTGTGTTTTATCATTCTGGCAGAAGCACTGAAATTGAAATTTTCACTCACGTCATGACCAGGGTCTCATCTCCTGGCTCACTCAGAAGTCCATCGACGAACACGGAGGTGCTTGTAAAGTTGTGAATGTTCCACGTCCGTCCTTCATCAATACTGAACCTGTGGGAAAGGATGAAGTGTTCAGAATCACCAAGACAGAAGCAGAGTCTCATGAAACTGTCTTCAGATATAACAAAAGAGCCTTGCCCTGATGTCAGCAAATGAAATCTTAAATAACAATCAAAATACTAGAAATCAACATTAGACTTATCATTTGGTACTTCTAATGTTGATTTCATTTGGTACTTAATGCATTTAGATTATGTTGCCCTTTATACTGTCTGTCTAAAACCTGCGTGATTAGCACAACTAGCTAAATGCTGAATACCTAGTGCATCCTAGAAAACTGGTGTATCCACTTCATGGTGTAATTTCAGTTTATTTTCAGTACAGTTTCTCACATTGTCCCTCTGTTTGGTTCAGAAAGCTATCAGATGTTAAGGTAACTTTTTCAGCTCATAGCTAGCTTGTAGCTATTGTTTGCCATTGTTTACGGGCCTGGCAGACTCACTGAAATTATTAGTTCTTTAAACCAACTGCAATATGGATAAAATTATTTATCAGATACTAAATTTTATGTACCGTTAGAATCAATACAGAGCACATGTACTGTTTTATATTTGAAATGTAGCTCTGTTAAAACATTTCTGAATTAAAAGTATTATTGTCTTTTGAGATAAAAACAACTAAGATTTGTGTAATTCATTTTTGAAAGTAATCGCATAAAATTTTGGCAAAGCCATGGAAATATGGTTATGATCAACTACCTAACATTCATATTAGGTCAAACAATACTTTGTTTGCAGAGTCTTGACATGTTTTCTATGTGGGATAAATGGTAAATGGTAAATGGCCTGTATTTGTATAGCACTTTACTCGTCCCTAAGGACCCCAAAGCGCTTTACATATCCAGTCATCCACCCATTCACACACACATTCACACACTGGATACTGCACACATTCTTACCAACAAAATGCTTATTTTATCCCATTCTGTTGGTTTTTGTCTTTTGCCCTTCTCCCCCGTCCCTCTTCTCAGCTGTTTCTCTTTCCCTCTTTCTTTCTCCCCTTCTTTCCCCCAGTCAAGTCTGTCCCATATTCAGTAAGTGAAAATAAAATAAACAATAAAAGGTGAATCAAATGGACCATTACGGCAAGGCTGGGGTGGTTAATTTGGTAAAGTAAATCCGTTGGGCATCTTTCTTTGCCTTTAGACAACAATTCTGATGGCAAAAGAGCCAAACGGGACAGGCAAAAAAAAAAAAAAACCATACAAAAAGTGATTGCAAAATGTTTGATATTCTAAACATGGGAGCAGCTAGGTGCTTTCCATAGCTATGGTCTTTCACCAGAATTATCTTAGTGAGATAATAAGGTGGCTGTAGCTTAGGAGGCAGAGCAGATCATCTGCTAGTCAGAAGGTTGGTTCTTTAATCCAAGGCTGCCAGACAAGATACTGAATCACACAATGAGTGAGGAGTTTGAACTTTAGATTAAAAAAAAACCCCAAAAGCTTATGCAGTAGAAAACTGTTCAATTTAAAACTGGTTAATATGAGATGAGGGTGTACCTTTTGATTTCCTTCATGTTCACTTCAATTCAATTTTATCTATATAGGGTTATAGTCAACAATAGTTGCCTCAAGGCATGCCATGTTGTAAAAACCCTACAATAATAGATACCCCCTCATAAGCAAACTCTTGTGACAGTGGGACAGAAAACTCAATTTTTAACAGAATGAAATATACGTTTACAACAGATATTTTTAGTAGGTTAAATGAAACATCATTCGAAAGTCATGGAAATTCATTGGTAAAAATGTGTATAAGAACTGTGTAATTTGTTTTTTATAAGTAAAACTATGTAGTGCCAAAATGCACATACATAACAAAGTTGGATCACTGAAGTTGTCTATACATAGAAAATTGACAAAATATAATTCATTGCTAATTAAGTGCTTTTTATGCTTTTAGTCACAATGAGATCCTTTTTGTGAAACTCAAATGTCTGTTATTCAAGTTTTCTTTAGTCCTGTCTAAAATGAGGTTTGTGAAGCAAGCAAGAAGAGCCATCTGCCCAGCTTTATTTACTGTGCCGACAACTCATGCCATCAACAGTGGCAGCAGTACTGAATAAGTGTGACTGTGTGATGGAGAGGGATCAATGTTGAATCGAGCAGTGTGTGGCTCGCTCTGCGGGCTGTGTTTTAACGATGTCCTAACAAGGAGTGCAATAAGATAATCACTGGGTAAACAGGCACTGTGAAAGAAAAACAGAATGGATATACAAAGCCATCAAAGCTAGGCCTTGCTAGGCCTTTTTATGCGTCAAACAAAGGGTTCTCTAATCTAACAGTGTGTGAAGCCACTTTCCAAAGGCAGAATCAGTTACGTCTTGGGGCCTTTCAACTTTAATTCCTTAAAATTGATGAATCAAGGAGTACTGAGGTGTGAATGTAAGCAGGCTATGAATTTCACTCAGACTCTGTTCCTTCATTTCTACTCACTACTTCTTGTAACATCTGACGTGTACAACCAAGCGCAACATCATGAAAGACTTCTGACAGTTCAAGTTTTATTATCTACAGGACAAAGACACTAATGGGCACCACCAAGAGAGTTCTTGGCATTAGAACAAGAAAGCAGAATAAAACTGCCAAGGGGACGGTTCGTCCAAATTCCTTGCCTCTGAGTTTGGTCATTTGGATTAACTATAAAAACATTTGCCCTTCAAAGTGATCAGACAGCAGATCACAGGTAATTCGAGGCATGCTGAGACCCTAAAAGTCTTTCACCAGAATGATTTTGTTATTTATCAGTAATAATGGTATGAGTGATATGGATGAGTGAATAGTAAATGAGGCGCTAAAGGCTCTTTTAGACTTTGGTTCATTTGACCGAGGAAAGAAAAAAGACATTGCTATCTAACAAAACACATAGTTACATAAAATGAGGCATAACGCAGTGACTAGACAGGTTTAGTGCCATCATCCTGCATGATCAGTTCTTATCATAGTAACTAAATATGATATATATTTGAACTGCTTTTTGTCAGCTTTCTATACGTATAAATACGATCCCTAAAGACCATGGAAACTTTGACCAGATGGCAACTGATGATGGACTCGTTGAGCAATAATGCCTTTTTTCTCTTTTAGAGTTATTCTTTTTATAATAAAGAGCTTTATGTCTGTGAAGGTTCTCAGTCATCCAGGTCATTGTAGTCAAAGGAGCTTGCAAAGAAAAGCGTCCTAATTACTCCAAGTTTGTGTTCCAGAGGGTGATGGGAGTCAAAGAGGAGGTACTGGTCCGTGTGTGTGGGCTTCCGGTTCTATGTTAAGGTTGCCGTTCTCTTCAATGTGCACAGCACAGTCCAGGAAAGGCAAACAGTCGTCCTTTGTGTCTTCCCTGGTGAACTTGATGTTTTAATCCACAGCGTTAATGTGCACAGTGAAGGATTCCACTTCTTGTGTCTTGATTTTGACCCAGGTGTCGTCTACATATCTGTACCAGTGGCTGGGTACTCTTCCTTTGAAAGAGCCAAGAGCCTTCCTTTCCACTTCTTCCATGTAAAGGTTGGCTACAATAGGTGACACGGGGGAGTCCATGGCACAGCCATGTTTTTGTCTGTAGAAGCCTTCGTTGTATTTGAAGTATGTTGTGGTAAGGCAGAGGTCTAACAGTGTGCAAATCTGATCGGGTGTGAAGTTGGTCCTGTCTTCCAAGGAGCTGTCTTCTTGTAGTCGTTTTCTGACAATCTCCACTCAAAAGGAAGCACTCAAAACGTGCGGCAATCCTAAATGGGCGTTCTTAAAGTCAGCAAAGAGGCACAGAAAAGAAGATCAGACACCAGCGAGGGAGGATAAGAAGGACAGACGCAACAACATTGTCATCCTCTATGTAGCCGGTGTATCAGAAAAACTCAGGAGAGTTTTCTCCAAGCATGACATCCTGGTGCATTTCAGACCCAGCAACACACTCAGACAAAAACTGGTTCACCCGAAAGACAAAACGCCAAAACACAGACTTAACAATGTGGTGTATGCTGTACAGTGCAGCGAGGAATGCCCAGACCTCTACATTGGAGAGACCAAACAGCCACTTCACAAGCGCATGGCACAACACAGAAGAGCCACCTCCACAGGACAAGACTCAGCAGTCCATCTGCATCTTAAGGATAAAGGACACTCTTTTGAGGATGCCAATGTTCACATTTTGGACAGAGAGGACAGATGGTTTGAAAGAGGAGTGAAAGAAGCCATCTATGTCCACTGTGAGCGACCATCTTTGAACAGAGGCGGTGGTTTACGACACCAACTGTCTGCCATCTATAATCCAGTTTTGAGTTCCCTCCCCAGACGCCTTAACGCCCACTCACATCCTGGGCCATCTGACCTCAGGAATTCGCATGATAAGGTGGGGCCAGGTTTCACAATGAGCTCACCCGAAACCCTGGCTGATTGGGACCCACACCCATTTTCACACCTTGGCTCAGGCGATTAAAAGATCATCAATCAGGGGGTCCTTTTGTCCCTCTGTGGGGGGATACTCCCACTAGGTTTAAATCTGGGACTCTCCCCCATTTAACCTTAGAACTGAAGAAGCTTCTCGGATGAGAGGTGAAACGTCTTCAAGCAACTTAAAGAAGTCCAGACGCTTTTCTTTGCAAGCTCCTTTGACAATAAAGAGCTATAATTATATCTGTGTGGCCTGGCTTAACCTCACAGAGACAAAGAAGCAAAGCTGATAAAAAACAATGGGTAGAAAGGAGAAAGACCCTCCTACTCTCCTGGCAGAGGTCCGAAGGATCTTCTAGGAATCACTCAACCATCCATTATCTGTTGCTCTCTAAGGCTCTCAGTGTAAGTTACCACACCACCTTACCCCAGTAAGAAGAAAACCTCTTTTATTGTACAGAAAATCTAGGGTTAACCCTGAAGTGAAAATTCTGCTCCCTCATTCACCAAACTAATTAATTATCTCGTTTCCATCTTTTAGTAATATGAACTGAGAAAAGTCAAGCGTGCAGCTGCCAAGATGCCACTTGCCACCAGTTTGGCCATATTTCAGAGCTGCAATATCACTGGAGTGCCCAAAAGCACAAGGTGTGCAATACTCAGAGACATGGCCAAGACGACCACCACTGAACAAGACACACAAGCTGAAACGTCAAGACTGGGCCAAGAAATATCTCGAGACTGGTTTTTCTAAGGTTTTATGGACTGATGAAATGAGAGTGAGTCTTGATGGGCCAGATGGATGGGCCCGTGGCTGGATTGGTAAAGGGCAGAGAGCTCCAGTCCGACTCAGACGCCAGCAAGGTGGAGGTGGAGTACTGGTTTGGGCTGGTATCATCAAAGATGAGCTTGTGGGGCCTTTTCGGGTTGAGGATGGAGTCAAGCTCAACTCCCAGTCCTACTGCCAGTTTCTGGAAGACACCTTCTTCAAGCAGTGGTACAGGAAGAAGTCTGCATCCTTCAAGAAAAACATGATTTTCATGCAGGACAATGCTCCATCACACTCGTCCAAGTACTCCACAGCGTGGCTGGCAAGAAAGGGTATAAAAGAAGAAAAACTAATGACATGGCCACCTTGTTCACCTGATCTGAACCCCATTGAGAACCTGTGGTCCATCATCAAATGTGAGTTTTACAAGGAGGGAAAACAGTACACCTCTCTGAACAGTGTCTGGGAGGCTGTGGTTGCTGCTGCACGCAAGGTTGATGGTGAACAGATCAAAACACTGACAGAATCCATGGATGGCAGGCTTTTGAGTGTCCTTGCAAAGAAAGGTGGCTATGTTGGTCGCTGATTTGTTTTTGTTTTGTTTTTGAATGTCAGAAATGTATATTTGTGAATGTGGAGATGTTATATTGGTTTCACTGGTAAAAATAAATAATTGAAATGGGTATATATTTGTTTTTTGTTACGTGGCCTAATAATTATGCACAGTAATAGTCACCTGCACACACAGATATCCCCCTAAAATAGCTAAAACTAAAAACAAACTAAAAACTACTTCCAAAAACATTCAGCTTTGATATTAATGAGTTTTTTGGGTTCACTGAGAACATGGTTGTTGTTCAATAATAAAATTATTCCTCAAAAATACAACTTGCCTAATAATTCTGCACTCCCTGTATACAGGCAGTGTGCTAGGGAGTCTTCTCATTTCTCAGCCTGCTGCCTTTTCATAATTAGCTGATATGAATGCCTTGTGAGAGCTACAGAGTGTAAAAAAAAAACTCATTCAAGTTTGAGTGAGTGTATGAGGAGCTGGGGAATTATCGGAAATGATTTGAGGGAGTGTGTGTGTGTGTACAGTCACTTATAAAAGTCGAGATGCACTCTTCAAGTGTCTGTGAAATGGCATGGCTTTGATGCACACAGTTGTAGCTATCTTACCCCCGCTTGGGAACATGGTGTAATCATTTTGGAGAGTCAAAGGCACTACAGAATCTGGGAACAAGTCATATTTTCAGGATTTGGAAAGATAGTATGGAGTGTATAAATTTGGAGGACTTTATGAAGAAGCATTTCAGGTCAAGAACAGTTCTTAATATACAAGTACTGACAACCTACCCAGTCCTCCACCTATACTTGTTTACTAATATATTTTTCCTTTTCTTGCCATTATACACTTTTTTGTCATCTTTGCTTGCTGTGTGTGATAGGTTAAACCAGGCCACAGACTTACTGAAAGCTCTTTAATATAAAAGGAATACATTACCCCTAAAAGAAAAAAACAATCACATTACTTCCCTAATGTGAAGTAAAATAAAATATATTCCAGTTTTTACCACTAATGACTACCTTCTAAAGCAGTTAATAGGAGAAGTTCACATTAAACTATGAAGTATAATACCAAGGTTCAAAAGAAAACTTTCTAAGATTAAAAAAAACAAACAATGGGACTGGACAAAATCATAATGTTGTCTCTCACATGTACACAGAAGAAATACTTATCCTCAAGAGTTTCACTTCTAGGTAAAAAAGGTTAATAATAAATCTTAATAGTGACGCTTATAAATACAACTTACACTTTCCAATACATTACTGTTCAGAAGTTCAGAAGTATGCCAGATGACATACAAAGCAGAAAAGACACCATTCAAAGGCTGACCATGAACTGCAGTGTCCCAGGTTTTAGGATCATTTTTCAGGGTGCACTGTATATGCAATTTATAGCACAGCAAAGTACTGTGGATATAGAGAAAGGCTGCATACTAATGTATAACGGATAAAAATGTGTTTTGTGTGTGGTATAAAAATGTTGTTGTTGATAATTCTTCATAATGCAATCAGTAATTTTGTTTATAAAGGGCAGTATTTTCCAACTTTTTGGAGCCACAGCACATATTTCACATTAGAAAAACCACACCACCAAACAAAAATGTAACAAAAAACATATTGATAATTTTCTTACGCGCACCAGGTATAGCGGAATTGGCTTGGTTTATCCTCAGTATACCTTTTTACGTTCTTCTGACGACTACTCAAACATTGATATAGGCGTTCTTATATATGCAGCTAGCATGCTGAAAAGGCAAGTGTTTTTAGTTGTCTCTAGGTCTCTGTTCTCCATACCTCATGAACACCTAATATGCATTACATGCATTACACCAAGTCAGCAAAATATTCAGATTCTTCACATTTCCAGGGCATTGAAAAGTGGAATGCTGTCAAAGCTGTTTGCCTTTCTGAATAATGCACAATCACCCCTTTGATATCTGGGTTTAGGCTATAGGAACGTGGGCCTGTCACTCCAAACTCTCCAGATGTTTACACCTGAAAAGAACCCCTTGCTGTCACTTTTAAATACAGTAGCCAACTTTAATTTTCTAACTTGTAGGTTTAATCATTTGCAGGGGCAATATTTTTACTTCAACCACATAACAAAGTATTTTTCAGAGCCTAAACCTAACCAGGTGTAGTGTTACTTAGACTATCAACAAAACATGAATGAAAACCAAAGGAAGCAAAGTTTAAATACACAGCTACAAAAAGGATACAAAATAAGATGTACTGCACTAATCCACTAATGCCAGTGCTGCTTCATCTATTATTCATGTGCACGATATTTCAGCAGTCAAGGCGCATATGGAAAGGGTATATCTGGCACCTCTTTAAAGACATTCGTATCAGAATGTCAACAGGCTGGCAGTAACTGATGCTTTGGGAGGGATCACCTAAAATAATATAGGAATAAAACCAAACTTTCATGGAAACAAGTCTCAACTACAAAAAAGAAAGGAATAACCTTTAGACCTTTATTATAACATTGCTAGTTAATATGGTTAAGTGGCATGCATTATTTTTCCATTGAAGGTATGATTGATTATAATAAACTAGTTTGCAAAGAGTAAACTTTGATTTGGCTTTGGCATTTGTCTGGCAGATGCACATTACCCTGCCATGCCAGCTAAATTAAGCATGAAAATCAAGCTTGGATATAGAATTATAGCTTTAAAAAGGCTACATAAGGACTTGCAGGACTGAAAAATTATCCTTTTTTCTAAAAGTCTGTAAATGTGACCGGCAACTTAAAGAACAAAATTGTATTTTGTCATAATAATAATAATAATAATAATTATTATTATTATTATTATTATTATTATTGTTGTTGTTGTTGTTGTTGTTGTTGTTGTTGTTATTATTATAGGGTCTTTATGTTACAATATAAGGCATCCTTGAGGTGACTGTGTTTTTGATTTGGCACCATACGAATAAAACTTAAAATTGGAAAATTGAACAATAATGTTTAGTGTGTGGCTCTCACTCTTAGTGCTATAACATAGACGTGAAAGTGAGAATTTTGGGGGGGTCAAGGAATTCATTTCTGACTCCAGAACAAACTATACAAAAGGAGTGAGTCTTGGAAGTAAGAAATATCAGATTACATTATTTTGATTTTACATAATAAAGTGGTAATAATGAACATTCACACTTCTATTACTTAAGAAGTTCCCTTTTTACCCAAGCCAAAGTGAGGGAAGAATGTCAAGGACTCTGTTCCTATCCGAAAAGTCATTTGATTTAAATTTGTGATAAATGCTTTTCTTTTTTCTTTTTTTTCCTGAGCACTGTCTTATCTATGCGCCCTCATTATTTGATCCTTATTTATTAAGGTCAGTGAGATATTATCTTGCTGAGGTAGAAACTGTATTTGTGAACTAAGGGGAAGGAGAGAGAATCGTTTTTAAAAAATTCAAGGTACCGTACCAGAAATCGAAACTTTTTCAAAATCTACAAGTATGCAATTATACTAAGCAACATTTATATAAGAAATGCACCCAAAACATAATACTTTGCAGGGGTTGTTACATTTGCAAAAACGGTATAAACATCTCAATTCAACGTCTGCATAACAATGATCGCATGGCATTTTGAACATCCACTGACTGACTCTACATTGGAGTGAGTGTTTCTTTACTGTTAATCATTTTTACTTTTGTCTCCCGTTGATTTAACATCTCCTTGATTACTTCGTTTTTTTCCATTTTGTCAGTCATGCATATAAAACTAGGGCTACAATTAAAAGCATACTTATTGATTGACTGTCACAGGCTTCTAACGGATGATCACTGCTACCAGTGAATTTCAGAATAAATCATTCCATTAACTTTCATTATATTGATTATAACTGATTTTGGTGACACTAAAAGGCTTTAATAAGAAGCCAATCATGAAAAAAATCACACTCCATTAAACAATGTCTTATAGCAGCAGCAAGGAGTAAGCATTACTGTCTTTGTCTGTAATCTTACTTGAGTATCTTGAGGGGAATCGAGGTATCTTTGATGGCAACGATGACACCACCGTGGTCCAGATACAGGATATGATGCTCCTCCTCAAACACCTTTCAAAAGCAACATATTTAGAAATAACAAAAGGCATGACAGTCAAAGGCTAATAAACAATTTGAAATGATAGATATAATATACTTTTTTATCCTCTCAGATTCTCCTCAGTGGAAAGCTGAAATGGTGAGGTCAGAATGGGAAGAGTGAAGCAGTATAAAAGAAGAATTAAGATAGAGGATGTGTACCTGTCTCCACGTCTTTCCGCAGTCTGAAGAGATATACATTTCTTCCTTATACTCTACTAGCTTGGAGCCCAGGTTACCTGAAGGCACAATGAGGAATGGAGAATTTTATCAGGCATGAAGTGAGCCTTCATGTGGGGCAGGCAACAATAATGGATTCAAACTGTGTTAGGGATGCTAGAAAGGGAATAACTGAAGAGACAAAGTCACAAAGGTTGAGCGCTCCTCGAGAACTTTTTATTGCTGTGTGTGGGGTTTTTTTGTTTGTTTTTTTTACATTTGGCCAAAAGGAGAGAATATGTTTGAATTCTGAATCTGCCAAAATTAGCTAAGATATAAAAAAGGATTTATCTCTTTCTCTGATCAAAGCTGGAGGCGTATATTTGAATATCGGAATAGATTTTCTGATTTAGTAAAGTTACGCTTTAAACCCGAATATCTTAAGGATTTAGAGTTTGTACTTCTTTTTTAAATTAAAATGTAGCTACAATGTGTGTGCTTCAGTAACACGTCACTAATTTTAATAACTTTTTTGGTAATGTTGTTGCTATAAAGTTTCCAGACAACCAGTGAAGACCCCAACAGGTTATACAGACGTATGATGTATGTTTTGTGAAAAATTAATTTAGCCAATGAAGATGTCACCCACTGGTTTCTGGACTAATTCGGAAGGTTAAAGGTTATTTTTTGGTTATTTTTTTCAGATATCAGTGGAAGAGTGCTGGAGAAGTGGGCAGCCCTGGTACCTCCTAAATAAGAGTCCACGTATTTAGGAGCCAGGTTAAGGCAGGTACTTAAGGGGCCAGGATGTCTCCTTCTCCAGGCCTCTGTCATCTTCCCCCAACCTATGAGGGTCATACACGATTCCAGTAAGGACTCGAGGTGGTATACCATAGGCTATGGTTATAGGGCCATACACAGTCCAAAATCAACCAGAATCGGGTTTGCCTCGGGAATTTGGTTGAAGCATGGTGGGTGAGTATTAAGTGTGTGAATGGGAATGTGCAAATGTAGTACCACTTAAATTAAATATAAGTGCAAAACAATGACTACAACTATGCCTTACAGTATGCATCCACTGATTCTAAGTATAGATTGGACAGAATAATAAGTTAGTGGGGCAATATCTGACGGTGTGCTCTGAATGCTGATGTGAGGTCATGTGATACTGTAGAGAGGGACACTTGTGTTGGTGAAGAGAACACCAGTTGCTGGTGGTGAAGAGCTGCTGGGAAATGGCTTTTCAGGCAGCCCATTACAAACCCATACCTGGCCTGTAAACTATGAAAAGAATAGGCCTGATTTTACTGGCATTTGTGCTAGTGCAACACTAGCATTTGTGCTAGTGTTGCCTATCCTGTCCTGAATGCCAGCTGGTTAATCCAGTGTCTATGCCAAAATCACCTCGACACCTCCTAACCCTCATGGAAGTCCCAGTCAAGTGTATTATTATGAACTTACACAAGGTAAGAGCTTTATTACAGGGGACCAAGTCAATTCAAATGAACTTATTCTGCTCTACATAAATAGACAAGAGCCTATTTAGGTCACACATATTCCCAAGTGGGGATTGTTTATTATGAAGTTGTGTGAACTGACAGAGGCAGAGCAACTTAGATTTACCATTTCAACTTCCTAAAAGCATGGAAGAAGGCGAAGCTTGTGTCTCTGGTGAGCTAGGTGAACGTGCTTCCCTGTGATAACCATCTCTCACCGGCTGAGAGTGCATATATAGCTAAGTTGCAACTGAGCTATATCTGATGCGTTTTTTCTCTGGGGCCAGGTTGCACTAACCTCATAAAGTATATTTTGGTAACTTTCCCAAGGCTGTCAGTTCAGTTACAACCCTATAGGCTGCAAAAACACCAAAGCAAAATGGTTCTCAAAGAATTGAAGGCAATGCTGGAGATGGGGCATATAAGAGTCACTCAGTTTCTGATATAGTCCCATTGTTCTTGTTGTGGTTGTCTAAGGGTGGGCCTAGCTTGGAGAGCATGGCACACCTTGATGCAGCTCAGTGTCCTGTGGTAACTGTGGGCAGGGATAGCTCAGTAGGTAGAGTGGTGGCCCCATGATCGGAAGGTCGGGGGTTCGATTCCCCTGAACAGCTACCCTGAGGTACCCCTGAGCAAGGTACCATCCCTACACACTGCTCCCTGGGCGGCCAATGGCTGCCCACTGCTTCACTGAATGAATGGGTTAAATGCAGAGAGGAATTTCCCCACGGGGATCAATAAAGTACACTTTCTTTCTTTTCTATATAAATAAAATTCAATTCAAAAACTATACTGTGTGTCTTTGTTTCTGTGAGAGTTTTTTTTTTTTTAAGCAGAAATGGGCTTTAGTAGAAAATCAAAAGTGTGACTTAAATGGCTTGTTTTCTCTTTTTCACAAACAGACACAGGCAGCTTACTCACTGACTTAATTTCATTTTCAAGCCTTTTTTGCTTTCTGTCAGCAATGCCCCCACAAAGACAAATATAGTAAAGTATCCAATAAATAAAATTGCTGGCAGTTTAGTAAACTCCACCTTGTGTAAAAGTCCCCAGGCATGAAGCAGTGTGGCAGCAGTTTTATACTCCACCACTGCACAGACAGAAAGGAACAGCCAAAGCTTTTCCCTTGGTAAATTAACTGTATTTTTTCTCTGGAGGAAAGGGGTTTTCTTGCCTAACCATGCAAACTCTTTACATAAATACTGTGCAAAAATCTTGAGCCACACCTTATTTCTTTATATTTTGATAGGAAAATGGGAAATTGCTGGGAAATACAATATAAAAGAAAAAAACCTCAAATTTGTTCAGTTGTAACAAACTTTATTCACCTTTATTCTTCAGCACAGCCTGAATTCTCTTAGGCAAGCTTTCTTTTTGTCATTCCTTTAAGTTGTCTTCAGGAATAGTTCTCCTTGATTCTTGAAGGACATTCCAAAGATCCTTTTGAGATAGTGGCTGCTTTTTCTCTGTTCTCTGCTAAGATGACCCCACACTGATTCAGTTACATTGAGATCTTAGCACTGGGGAGGCCAATACATGACTGGTAACGTTTCATCGTGGTTTTTTTATAATTAGGTATGTTTTTACTGCATTGGCAGTTTGTTTGGAATACTTGTTACACTGAACAACAAACCATCTGTGATGGTTTGGTACTGAATTTCAGTCAGTGGTGTTGGAGATCTTGTCAAACCTGATGAACTTATGAATACAGAAAACACTGTCTGATTTTGATCTGGCTTGCAATATCAAAAGTGCCTGGAAAGCAATTGGCTAATGGCCAATCATTTTTCAGCCCGATAATTATCCCAAACCCACTTCCAATGCTGTAAAAATATACCTGGATAGAAAAACGCACAGTTGAACACTATCACACATGGAACCCAGAACTTAACATTACTGAAGCAGTGTGGGAAAGGAAAAAAAGGCAGCTAACATCCTTGGAGAGTTTAGGCTGTGCGGAAGAATAAAGGTAGTCATCTCGAATCTTGACTTTCAAGCTAGACAAAATTGTACAAACTCTGGGTTTTGCCTTTTAAATTATATTTACATGATATTGTATTTGTACAGGTTTCAATAGATCGCTACATTGGCAAATGAAGACTCAAGACTATTTCATTGGATGGATGGCATGGATAGACTTTTCCATCTCACTTTATATTAGGGGCTTGCTGCTGTACTGCTTCCATGTCATTCACACCAGCCCTTTGCATGTCCTCCATCACAGCATCAGCAAATCTTCTCTTTGATCTTCTTCTCTTCCTCCTGCCTGGCAGAGCCATATTTAATATTCTTTGTCCAGTATATCCACTATCCCTCCTCTGCACATGTCCAAACCATCTCAGCCTTGGCTCTTTGTCAACCTGAGCTGTCCCTCTGATACACCGATCTACTCTGATATACTGTAAGTTTCGGGCTATAAGGCGCTACTTTTTGCACAAGCTTTGAACCCTGCGGCTTTTAGTCAGGTGCGGCTTTTCTATGGATCGTCCATGACTTTTGTGATATCGTAAGACGATTGTTTTGGTTGTTCCGCTGTTGTACGGCACTACGTTGCCTGGCGGAAGGGCATGTGATCAGACACACAAGAGTACAAGGGTACAAGAGTGGTAACACTGGTCACATGTCCGTCCGCCAGGCAACGTAGTGCCGTATGAAGTAGCGCGAAAAACAAACTTGATTAGCAAGGCTCTCAGCGAGGGAAATAGAGCTGCTGCACGTACCCTTGGTATAAACGAATCAATGGTGAGACGCTGGAGACGCCAGCGTAAAAAACTAGCTCAGTCCAAAAAGACGAAAAAAGCTTTCAGAGGAAATAAGAGCAGATGGTTTAAACTTGAAGACTGGATGAACACACAGAGAGCAAACGGGCGAGGTGTTTCAACTGTGCAGATCTGATTAAAAGCCAAAACAGTCGCCAACGAAATGAAGATAGAAAATTTCAGAGGTGGGCCATCCTGGTGTCACAGATTTATGAAACGAAAAGGACTGTCCATCAGGGCACGGACGACGGTGTGTCAGCAACTCCCTTCCGACTACGCAGAGAAAATAACAAACTTCCGCAAATTCACACTAAGAAATAAAAACAAATGTATTCCATCGGACCGGATGAGATCATAAACATGGATGAAGTGCCGTTGACGTTTGACCTGTTAATAAGCAAGGTGAATCAACCATCACGGTGAGAACCACTGGCCATGAGAGAACAAATTTCATTTGTGTGCTGGTCTGCACAGCATCAGGGTTTAAACTTCTGCCAATGGTGATTTTTAAGCGAATGACTGTGCCAATAGAAAAGATCTCTGCTAAAGTCAACAAGAAAGGGTGGATGGTGGAAAGCGTAATGAAGGAGTGGCTGCAAGAGTGCTATGGGAAGCGACCTGGAGGATTCTTTCCCCCAAAAAAAGCGTTGCTTGTTTTGGACAGCATGAGGGCCCATATCACAGATTCTGTGAAAGCAGCCATTAAGAGCACAAACTCGATTCCAGCTGTGATTCCTGGAGGCACAATGAAGCACCTGCAGCCACTCGACATAAGTGTGAATTGTGCGTTCAAAGTAGCACTACGCGTTCAGTGGGAGGCGTGGATGATGAGCGGCGATAAATCATTCACCAAAACTGGTTGCATGCGAAGAGCAAGTTTTGCCCAAGGCTGTCAGTGGATTCTGACAGCATGGAGAAGTGTGAAAACATCCACGATCACCAACAGATTTTGAAGGGCTGGACTGCTGCGTGATGGAGAGGGGGACACCGCCATGGCCCTTCAGAGGGTGTTCAACTCCGACACTGACAACGAGGATTTCTTTGGTTTTGAAAGCGACAACGAAGGAGAGAAGCGGAGAGTGGATGACGAAGCCATCCTAAGCCTGTTTGTTTCCGACACTGGAGAAGAGGACTTTGGTGGTTTTAGTGCGCAGGAAGAAGAGAAAGATGGTGGTGAATGACTGACTTTTCTTCTTGTTAAAGCTGTGTCACTGCACCTGAGCCTAAAAGGTAGGCCAAATCTATTTTTCTGGTGTGCTGTAGGTCATTGTTATACACTACATTTGTTACTCGTTTATAAAGCACAGTACATGTTTCGTACTTGTAATTACCTGTACTTGTATATATTAATCAAAGGGATGTGTTCCCAAACAGCCATCTCTTTCCTGATAATCCCCTTTGTGCATATTCTCTTACATATGGTAAGTAAACATTAAAACACCTGCGCCTTTCAGTCAGGTGCGGCTAATGTATGTACAAAACAGAATTTTCCCCTGATTTTAGCTTGTGCAGCTAATATTCAGGTGCGCTTTGTAGTCCGGAAAATACGGTACTCATTTCTAATCTTGTTTATCCTGGTTACTCTCAATGAAAACCTGCTCCCTACTCTCACTATAGATCAAAATGTTGTCTGCAAACATCGTAGTCCACAGAGACTCCTGCCAGACCCCAACCTGACTCAGACCTCAATCACCACAGAAAACAAGAAGGGGCACACAGCTGATCCTGGATTTAATACCACAGCCACCTTGAACCCCTCTGTAATTCCTATGACACATTTTGCCATTGTTTTGCTGTCCTCATACATCTCCTGCACCACCCTCACATACTTCTCTGCAAATCCCAACTTCCTCTCAGCACCCTATCATACACTTCCTCTAAATCTACAAAGACACAGCCAACCCCTCTAGAACATTCAAGAAACAAGTTACATAAAGTGAAAACAAGTGGAGGAAGCTCATAAAAAATTACATAAATAAAAATAGGTTTACTTACCAGCACCCATAATAAGACCGGGAGCAGAGTCTTTGGTGTGGACAGTCCCAGACACATAGGGGTTGTCTGCCCAGCGCAAGTGGAGGTGGAGGTGACAGTCCGGCTGCAGAGGAGACACATGTAGAAAGAACTTAGGAAGCACTCAGATCCACCCACCAAAACAATGTTCAATGTGGCCCAAAGTACTTAGAGTAAAATAGTGGGTCTACTGAATACCGGAGCACTCGCTCAGCAATATTTAATGAGTCTTACGACAGATACCTGATTATCCCACTGCAAACTAATCGCAGTTCAAAAGGGTTTTAGTTCTGTTAATCAAACTGTATTTGTGACAGATATTTAATGAATGATAATTCATTTCAAATATGAGAATCAGAGTGGAGAGTCACCAGTGCAAACGTTAGGCATTTTATGAATTACATTTCCACTTGTTGCTTCAAACCCTAATGCCGAGGATGTTGACTGCAGTTTCAATAGAAATGTATTGTTTTGCACAAAAGATTGTCATGAACTGTTTCTGATAATATATCAAAAACCAGTGTTTGCAAATAGCTGGAAAGCAAGTTTGATCTATAAGAACCTGAAGACTTGTTGGTTGCATCAGATCATTACTCACCAAGATCCATCTCTGTTTTATGAATTACAAACAGTATATTACATCACTTTGGCTCATTCCAAAATAGGGTTTTCAGTATGCTTTCTCATAGATTCCAAAGCAGTGAAGACAAATTGTTGGTTAGGTAGCACAGGACATATTCTTCAGCAGTGTAAGTTAAGTACCATCAGAGGTGTAGTGCTGTTTGTCTAAACACTGTTTTAAAAAATGTTAGTGTGTCTGACTTTACCTGTACCAACTGTACCTACAACTAGCTGTTTTACAACTACTCTTTCAAGAATTTCTGAAATAAAAAGAAGGCTGGCGATTGGCCTATAATTAACTAAAACAGCAAGTGCTGGCTTTTTAAGTAATGGTTTAATTTTTGCCACCTTAAAAGCCTGTGGCATGTAGCATGTTACACTGATCACATTTAAGATCGACGCAATCATTAATGGTAGGAGTTTTATAGGAATGGGGTTTAAGAATGGGAACAAATTAACCTTTTATACCCTATGTAATTTTGCCAGTGTCTGGCTATATGTGCTTTGTGCAGAATTGCTCAGTAAATATATAAAAATCTTTTAGCATCTGCACATTTCTTTGTGGTGCTTCGTGGAGCACGCAAACTACAACACACCGCATTCCGAAACGATAAACCTCTCCTGTGTATAGAGGTCATTTCTCTTAACCAGTCTCTGTCAGGTAATGGCTACAGCTGACAGCACGTGCCTGTTACACTGACATATAGATAGTAGATAGTACATCTGCTATCTGGCTTTGTCTATCTCTGTGAGTTGTGATGTCAGTGAGGCAATACATGTGATGTCAGCTTTTGAAATAAAGCCGCCTCTCTGACTGATAGATGTAATAACTGGAATCCAGGCAAGGTAATTCTGTTGAGGTATGGAAGAGGCTAAAGGGAAGAGAGGTCAATATCAGAGCGACCAACCACGGCTCAGAGATGGTAAATGAGTCTCAAACTGATATCTGTGTCCTACCTCCAGATGTGTCAGCTGACTGAAGCGATGGTTCAAATAAAAGAACAGACTCACACCCCCTCTATCTCCCTGCGAGGTATGATGTATGGATATCAGACTGCGGGTGACTCATTGCTCTTTGCTGACTAGCCTACCCCTACAGCAGCAACTTTGACAAGATGGATGGCAAAGCTAGGAGGGCATCTCAAACACATCCTTCAATGTACAACACTCATCCTTCCTTCGCTTACTTTATGCTTACACTCTGAACAACCTAGTCAACAGGTCTGAACAGTCTGATTGATTGCTGCTTGTGCAAGATTGCATCTGCACTTCAGTTTATAGATACAAAGTCTAAGCCAAGTGTCTACTACTACTATGTACAATATGCATGACTATGTGCAGTACTAACGTACTCTGTAAAAATCTGTATTGAGTACAGACTAGTTTGGTTAGATGGATGCTTACCGCTTTGCAACTGACAGGTTTGCCATTCATGTCAGTGGTAGGTGGGGCCAAGGGTTCCCAGTCACGTCCTTTGTTGTAAGTTATTACAGTTGCCACTCTTCCATCAATTTTCTGGTTTGCCAAGAAGACTCCTTTGATTCCACGTACCTGACAGAATGAGATAGATTTTTCATAGCTTGGGTTAATTTTGCAAAAAGTTATTTCTGTTGCCCTTTTAAAGAAATCTTTGAACATGATGCAAGTCATTTTGAAAAAAAAATGTGGTATATATGTAACTACTGCTTAATCTTCTGTCAGCTGCTCCCTCTAGGGCAGGGGTGGGGGAACTCCAGGCCTCAAGGGCCGGTTCATTACTTGGCCTCTGGAGAACTTCAAGACATGTTGAGGAGGTAATTTAACCATTTAAATTAGCTGTGTTGGGTCAAGGACACATCTAAAACCTGCAGGACACTGGCTGTCGAAGCCTGGAGTTCCCCTACACCTGCTATAGGGGTTACCGCAGCAGATCATCTCATCCTATCCCTAGAAGGTCACCCCGAATGACAATCTTAATATATTCTACCATCTCTATCTCTGCCTCCTGTCTTTTTATTAATGTCACCATCTCCAAAACATACATCATACTAGGTCTCAGTACCCTCTTACAAATCTTTCCTTTCATTGTGTTGATGCATGCTCAATCATCCAGGTAAGGAAATCCCCCAAAACTGATTCTGGATGATCATGTTTACTGTAAACCAACACATACCAGTATGTAAGATTTGATCATTATCATCCACTGGAGCACAAACTGGGTGTCATCAGGGCTATACAACACAGAGTGAACACAATCCCCACGGATACAGCAGCCAGGGAAGCAAGAATCACTTGGATGTGCGAGGAAACATTTTTCCCACTGAAAAAATTACGTCCAGATGAACAGAATCAACTTTATGGGCTTTCCTTTTATTCTTGCTACCTCTCACAGAACAAGAATTTATGTTAACTACTAAAACAAAATGTGACACAGATGCTAAAATAAAGACAAAGTTGTAAATTCAATCAGCTGACTGACAGCAGCTTAACATTGGCTAATACTAAGCTAGAGGTCATGTAAAACAAATTAGGCTGTATTAGCCAAACCCTTGTATGTAGTTCAACAAGCAAAGGGAATGTTCTCTTCCAGCTGAGTCACTCAGTAGAACACATGTGGTATGGGATATCTCGCAGGATCTTTTTGGTGTAGTGGAAGTAGATCTTTTTTCTTTGCTCACTGCCCCTACTTCTCCATAACCAACTATTATTGCACCTCTGGGGATGAATGCGATAGCGCATGTTCCTTGACATGTTCCTGTATGCCTTTCCCCCAAAGGAAATGATACCAGTAATTCAAGAAAGAGTGTCTCAGCAGTGCCTCTCTCAGATTCTAGTGGCCCCTTGGTGACCAGCAAAGCTGTGGTATGCAGAGATAATCAATGTGTTGGCAGTGAGGCCGTCCTCTCTGCAGGACCTCCTCTCTCAGGTGGGAGGGGAGGTGATTCATCCATGCTCAGAACTATGGCAGCTGCATACTTGCCTGTTGAGAGGTCAAACTTGGTAACCAGGTCTTCACCCACATGTGGCGGCAAAAATTTAGAGTGCTGGAGCTTCATATACTAGAGGCTTGTATGCATACAAACAACAGAACTTTGAGCAATGGAGCCAAAACCGACGCATTCTCCCATTCCAGTGCTCTATTGTGGATGCTTTAAAATTCCTGCAGGGACTGCTGGATAAAGGTCTTACCTTTTCTATCATTAAATTTTTTTGACATCTATATGTGCTAATCATAATTGCTTTAATGGGGGTCACAGCAGGTATACAGTGCACCAACTGAATCTTTAAGTCTGTATATATGAAGTTCCTTTCATATAAGACTACGTTGCTTCTTGCTTTGGGTTCTACAAAGCCAGTTGGTGACATTCATGCTTTGCCTTCTTGAACACAGTTTTCTGTTGGCCTCGGAGTTATACTATGTATGAATGTAACATTTACCTAAGGTTATTCCTGTGGCTTGTAGCTCTCTGAAATTTGAGCTTCTGAGTTTCTGCCTCCTTCCTTTGGCTTCTGAGGAGCAGAGGAGGCTGCTTTTTCTGTGTCTGGTGTGAGTACTGAATATATACATTGACTGCACTCAGAATGTGTGTTTATCTGACCAGTTGATTGCCTGCTTTGCTAATCCAGTCAATAGTAGAGCTCTTTCTAAACAGAAGCTCTCCCAGTGGATTATGAAGGCTTACTGGCATAACGCTCCAAGAGTCTCTCTTTGCCTCTGGGTGTGAGAGCACATTTTATTTATTATTATTGTATTATTTTAGGTATTTATTCTGTTATGTTGCCCGGTCTTATAATAGAATACACCTTGAGGCGACTGATGATTTGGGGCTAAATAAATAACGCTGAATTGAATATGAGGTAATGAATGAGAATTGGGAAATTCAGGGGCTCTTTTTAAAGGGGTCATTGTGGATGATATTTATGCTGCAAACATGTTCAATTCTATCACTTAGAAGTGATCGCTCCTTCATTACCTTATTTTGTCCTTTCTGCTTAGTCTACAATGCACTAGGTCCCACTTAGGTCTGGTGGCTGCTTTCCGGGGCCTGTATATATTTCCCACACTATATGTGTTGTACCAAGTAAAATGACTGAAAAGGAACAAAGTGTGATGTCTGTAACTTCTGTTCCCTCAAGGAGCAGAATGAGGTAGACTTTCAGGATACTCCTCTGTGTAGCATAGCTCAGTGAAGGGCAGCTACAAAACTGAGGGATGACTGCGATGACAGGGTTGTGTAAGTGTGGGAAGAGCTGTGCATATGTCATCACATCATCTGCCTTAAAGGTGTGAATACAGGTGTCTTTGGCCAGGGCATGCAGGGGTGTGATAACCCACAATATACAGTATGTGTTTTACCTCATTGATGTCCTACAAGGAACAGAAGCTATAGACATTAACACTTTGATTTATTGCTTTTTTATGTGTGCTAGTTCAGTTTTTAATATTACCGGTACTGGTTTTATGTTGTAATCTAGATAAAGGAATCTAAAACTGGAATTTAACGTAACTTTGAATTCCAGAGTCTGAGTCATAATATCAAATAGAATATGCCGTTTAACCATCATTAAGGTTTAAACCACTGGACTGTTAAAGTTTAATTCACAGAAATCAATATCTACTGCATAGTTTTTGTGGCTGTGATATTGTTAGCTTTAGGTTCTGAAGATAAAATATAAAAGACTGAAACAATAATGAACAAAAACATTTAGACCAAGCCAGGCAGCATATCAGATATGTCTGCTTCTATAGCCTTCCTCAGCTCTCAGTGGCACTGATGTCCACACAAGAGAAACAAATCGTTTAAATCAAAGTACATAAGCCTGCCTGTATTCTCTTTGTACGTCTGGCTTCAAACCTCTTCCTGTCTGTATTTTATAGTCCTTCTGCTTCAATCTGTCTTTATTCATCCCACATATATTGTTCACCTCTCTATCTATATCTACAGCCTGTGACGAAAGCGCAGCCCAGAGCAACGGATGACACATGGGAAGGAGGAGATGATCCACTGCCTATTCTTTCCCCTCTAACGCTCCCTCTCTCTTTCTTCCTCCACCCTTTGTGTCACGTCTTCTGTGCCCATTTATCTGGAGAAATTGGCAAAAGACTCAGGACATACACAAATGAACAAATGCATAGCATAGCTGCCTTGTAATGTGAAAGTTTTCCTGGCATGCTTAATGTGGAGAAGAGTAAGGAATTAACGTTTAACTTGGGTTTATACAGGGAGTGCAGAATTATTAGGCAAATGAGTATTTTGTCCACATCATCCTCTTCATGCATGTTGTCTGTATAGGCTCGAAAGCCTACTACCAATTAAGCATATTAGGTGATGTGCAACTCTATAATGAGAAGGGGTGTGGTCTAATGACATCAACACCCTATATCAGGTGTGCATAATTATTAGGCAATGTCCTTTCCTTTGGCAAAATGGGTCAAAAGAAGGACTTGACAGGCTCAGAAAAGTCAAAAATACTGAGATATCTTGCAGTCTCAAAATTGCAAAGCTTCTGAAGCGTGATCATCGAACAATCAAGCGTTTCATTCAAAATAGTCAACAGGGTCGCAAGAAGCGTGTGGAAAAACCAAGGCGCCAAATAACTGCCCATGAACTGAGAAAAGTCAAGCGTGCAGCTGCCAAGATGCCACTTGCCACCAGTTTGGCCATATTTCAGAGCTGCAATATCACTGGAGTGCCCAAAAGCACAAGGTGTGCAATACTCAGAGACATGGCCAAGACGACCACCACTGAACAAGACACACAAGCTGAAACGTCAAGACTGGGCCAAGAAATATCTCGAGACTGGTTTTTCTAAGGTTTTATGGACTGATGAAATGAGAGTGAGTCTTGATGGCCAGATGGATGGGCCCGTGGCTGGATTGGTAAAGGGCAGAGAGCTCCAGTCCGACTCAGACGCCAGCAAGGTGGAGGTGGAGTACTGGTTTGGGCTGGTATCATCAAAGATGAGCTTGTGGGGCCTTTTCGGGTTGAGGATGGAGTCAAGCTCAACTCCCAGTCCTACTGCCAGTTTCTGGAAGACAACTTCTTCAAGCAGTGGTACAGGAAGAAGTCTGCATCCTTCAAGAAAAACATGATTTTCATGCAGGACAATGCTCCATCACACGCGTCCAAGTACTCCACAGCGTGGCTGGCAAGAAAGGGTATAAAAGAAGAAAAACTAATGACATGGCCTCCTTGTTCACCTGATCTGAACCCCATTGAGAACCTGTGGTCCATCATCAAATGTGAGATTTACAAGGAGGGAAAGCAGTACACCTCTCTGAACAGTGTCTGGGAGGCTGTGGTTGCTGCTGCACGCAATGTTGATGGTGAACAGATCAAAACACTGACAGAATCCATGGATGGCAGGCTTTTGAGTGTCCTTGCAAAGAAAGGTGGCTATATTGGTCGCTGATTTGTTTTTGTTTTGTTTTTGAATGTCAGAAATGTATATTTGTGAACGTGGAGATGTTATATTGGTTTCACTGGTAAAAATAAATAAAGGCAGCACGGTGGCACGGTGGTTAGCACTGTTGCCACACAGCAAGAAGGTCCTGAGTTCAATTCCAACATCATTTCTGTGTGGAGTTTGCATGTTCTCCCCGTGTTTGCGTGGGTTCCCTCCGGGTACTCCGGCTTCCTCCCACCGTCCAAAGACATGCAGGTTGTGGGGATAGGTTAATTGATAAATCCAAATTGCCACTAGGTGTGAATGTGAGTGCGAATGGTTGTCTGTCCCTGTGTGTTGGCCCTGCGACAGACTGGCTATGACAGCTGGGATAGGCTCCAGCGCCCCCCGCGACCCTGAAAAGGATAAGCGGAAGCGAATGGATGGATGGATGGTAAAAATAAATAATTGAAATGGGTATATATTTGTTTTTGTTAAGTTGCCTAATAATTATGCACACACAAAATATCCCCCTAAAATAGCTAAAACTAAAAACTACTTCCAAAAACATTCAGCTTTGATATTAATGAGTTTTTTGGGTTCATTGAGAACATGGTTGTTGTTCAATAATAAAATCATTCCTCAAAAATACAACTTGCCTAATAATTCTGCACTCCCTGTATGTCCCCTGATCACTCAATATGGGTTAGAAGAGCTGTCCAGAAAAAATGACCCAGCTTCCTAAGCTTCCTGCCACCACCATGACCTGGGCTGGAAAACAGTTGATTAAAAGATCCAAACGGGGTGCATTAATGGGTGGGTTATAAGGACACAGTGTACCCCTTCTGCAATCAACAGGAATTTTCTGTCATAAAAATAGTTTTTACATTTTGTCATTTTTTCTCCCTATTTCCCTCTTAAACCCACAGGTCTGCTTACAAAACTCTTTATTTTAATACTGTTTTGTGGAACTATAACAACTTTTTAGCCTGACTTCCTCATAAGGGACACATATAAAAACAGAAGACTTTAAAACATGTATTAAGATTCAGAGTCAAGAAACTGGTGTTTAGTTTAGAAAGAAAACAACATAGAGACGTTTGAAGTAAGAAACTACTTTGAAAATGGCCTGTATTTATATAGCGCTTTACTAGTCCCTTAAGGACCCCAAAGCGCTTTACACATCCAGTCATCCACCCATTCACACACATATTCACACACTGGTGATGGCAAGCTACATTGTAGCCACAGCCACCCTGGGGCGCACTGACAGAGGCAAGGCTGCCGGACACTGGCGCCACCGGGCCCTCTGACCACGACCAGTAGGCAACGGGTGAAGTGTCTTGCCCAAGGACACAACAACCGAGACTGTCCAAGCCGGGGCTCGAACCAGCAACCTTCCGATTACAAGGCGAACTCCCAACTCTTGAGCCACCATCGCCCCACTCGTTTCTCACAACAAAAAGTTAAAGTGCTTCCTAACATTCACATTACTCTTTTCTACTTTAAACTTTGCGCATGTTCAGGTCAATGAACATGCGCAAGGATATGGTTAACAATATTCTCTGTTTTTCTTGTACTGATTGTGTATTATAATACAGTTGCCCAGGCTTTGGATGTTATTTCATTAGAGAAATAATAGCAATTTGACAAGTAAATCACTTTTAAAGTGTTTTGAGTCTTTGTGCTTTAAAATTACAACCCCATCTTACCTCCAGAATGTCAATGAGAACATTCTCTTCTGGCTGCTTGGTGCTGCGAACATTTTCCAGGACGATGGAGTAGTAGATGCCTTCGGGATCTGACTGGTACAGGTTGTATGTGTCTGACTGGTACCACTCCTGGAGGGCGAGGAAGACCTGGTTCTCATCTGTGCTCACTATCTGAACATCCTAGAGAATGAAACAGAAAAATTAGTGCTCTTGGGAGTGAAACAAGAGAAAAGAAGCGTAAAAGAAGGAAACTGAATAAAGAGAATAAAGGGGATGGAATAACAAAGTAAGCTCAGAGAAAGAAAAGAGAAAATAAGGTAATAATGACAGATAATGAATACAAGAGAAATGACTGACAAAGAAAATGAAAGCAAGTAATGACAGATGGAGAGAAGACAGAAAAAAGAAACTGAATAAAGAAAAGAAAGGAGAGTGAGAATAGATAAATCAGTAACAGAAGCAAGTGTAATTCATAGAACTTTGACAGTGATTTGCAGCAAGCCAGGGAACATAATCGGATAAATACAAATGTAGAGAGTGAGGAAAAAACTCAACAGAAAACGGGGGAGATGACGAATAAGGGTTCTACCCACTGAACACTGTTTCCTGGAGTGTAGAATACCGTTAGGTGTATCTGACAAAGCTCTTGAGACTCTGATGAAAATGGTTTCATCACTCATGAAAGACTGTAATGAAGGATCAAAGAGCAATTCAGCACTTTCTCTCTATTAGTGATTACATTAACATAACATTTGGAGACGAAGCCAAGAAGGTGTGTCTATAATCACTGACACGCTTCCATCTTGTTTATGAAAAACACTCAAGCTCAATTACCCTTAGATTTATGGTGGTGGTTCCAAGTAATAGCAATATTGAAAGCCATATGCTGATCTTCATATTCATAAAGGTACTCTTTCTGAGTCACTCAGCAGCTTTCTGCAAATTGCCACAGTGCTGATTATGGACGGATGCTGTCTCAGGACCCATGGTGACACATTTGAAAGGACTGGGTACCTTTTAGCTTAATTTTTTTACTGTGCAGAATTAACATTGTGACCTGAAAACCACTAATGCTTCCCTGAAAGTAAAAAAAAGTTCGATTTTTGAATCCAACAGAACTGTGAGCAATAAAAGACTTAACAACTTAAACACTTGTAAACACAAAGCTTTTAAACAGGACACATGGTATGGTCTTATAAGAGACTCTTGAGTCTTTTGCTATTTATGGCAATGCCAGCACACCTATTGTACCACAGTGTGAGATTGGTGCAAAAAGTGTTAAGCAGCTAATACAGCCGTATTTGTTACTCTGGGAATGGGAAGAGACAATGTTTGTATATAAAGAATTCTTCTTCTTTTATTTATTAAGGGACAAAGGTTAGCCAAGCCTGCCTGGCCAAGTGTGGAAAATGTAATTGTATTGCATTTGTATCCTTGAGCAACATACTGAATCCGTGTGTAAGTTCAAACAATAATGTAGACAGAACAATAGCAAACAAGGCAAGCAGTGCTTGTCTTGTGAAATCTAAAAATTGACATTAGTTCAAATGCAGCTGTTACGGTTGTTGATATGGCTAGGAGACGCTCCCTGTGGGAGAATGCTGTTGTTTCCCTTTCCCCCTTCCTGTCACGTCTTTCGGGTTCTGAGTGACGCAGCTGAGTAGCGTTACGGCTCGTTAGCCACGGGATCACACGCTAGCCCCCCCTTCCCTGCGACGCGCTACGGCAGCTCGGAAAGGTTGAGCGGACTTCTGGAGGCTCTGAGCGGCGTGTGTGATAGTGTTTCTGTGCCCCTCTGCTGTTTGGGATATTGAGATCGCGGGGGACTGCCGTGGAAGCAGGTAGGGGGTTCTCCGCCATTTTTGTTTGACCAGTTTTCTCCCGTTTCATGGAAAGCCAGGGAGGTCGGGGTATTACTTCCCTGATCAAGAAAAAGAAAATACGACACCTGACCTCCCTGGTGTTTTGTTACTAGAATGGGGGAGGGTTTTTGTTTGTTATTTTGGCCTCGGAGACTCCGAAGCTTTTAGCTTCCCGGCTCAGCTGTGTGCTGCAAGTATTTTGCTTGGCTTGGTGAAATAAACCCCGTGAGCCTTCCAGTGACTGGTTTATGCGCGGTTACACTCTTTTCCCGTGTTCTTCCACTATTCCGAGAAAAGGTTGCACCTCTGGCCAGTGGCTATCCCGGGCTAAAGGGGACGGGGCGTAACAGTAACACAGTCTCTCTCCTTTCATCTCAAACAGCATTCTGTCCCACAGCCCCTCACCTTTTTGCATCTATCCTTCAAATCATTGCCAACTTGGGTTGATCTGATATCCTCGTGTTGGTGTTGTTCCCAGATCATCATACTAAATGTTGTTCCAGGATCAACATTGCAAGTGACCAATCAGAATGTTGTGACGTCATAGTTTTGCGACTTCGGGAAAAACCGGCGTAAAACAAAAAACTGTACTTAAGCTGCGTGAAACCGCCTCTGTCCGCCGATCAACAGACCCTGACCCTAACCCTAACTGTAACCCTTTAATAAACAGGAAGCAGAATTGATATTGTCCTTGCAACATTGGAATTTCATAAATGCACGAATGGCTTGGCGCGCAAAGGAATAACGTCACAACAATGTGATTGGTCACTTGCAATGTTGAACCTGGAACAACATTTTCATGATGGTCTGGGAACAACACCAACATGAGGATATCAGATCATCCGCCAACTTGTGGCTGCAGTTGACTATTGACAGTGCAAGCAGTCTCGACTCTGCTTTTGGCCAGATTCAGGTGCGTGTCCATATCCCGTTAAGAATGGCTTTAACTTTTCAAGTTCAAATGCAAACTGTGGCTGTTTGTGCATGGTGTGTGCATGGTGGACAAATCTCTGATCAGTTCCCCTCTTTGATGGGGAATTAATGGGAAACTGAGATGATGCCTCTGCTTTCACTATTCTGAGATCAGTTGCCAGAACAGAACTAGGACTAGCAATTAAACAAGCACACACTGATACCTCAGCTTTCTTTGTACTAACCATCTTGGTCAACATGTGTGATGAAGATGAGTTGGGAGTAGTGTGAAAGGCACATCAGCAAGAAAAGCCTTGATGGTGCAGGGAAACCATCAGCTCCTGCTAAATCCTTCTTTATAAAACAGTCAATTTAAACAAATAAGGTGGTTTCCAAATACAACATCTTGTATTTGTTTATAATTCCATATTCACACTTATCAATGTCACACAATGCTTAAACCTATTAATTCAGATGTGATTTTAAAAATGTTAGAAATACATTTATTCTTTTTAAAATTAAGATTTAGGTCTTTTTCTGAGCTAAATAGTCCTACCCTACTGAAGCTTAAAGAGAATATAAAGTATTTAAAATGGGCTCAGTTTCAAACTTCTGCAAATAGACTAATGTGACTAATGGGGAATATTTTTCTGCAGGAGTACTTTTACTTTTTGAACCCGACAACACAAACTTTTGTGTCTTGAGGGGTTGTCATAATGTTTTCCTACTTTTGCTTGATAAATGGCTCTGAAAGAAATTCCTCCAGCAATTTTCATTGTCAGCAAATGGAAAATATTTGGGTGACAAATACAAAAGTAATATTTTACAATTCTTCAGCCGGGAAGGAGTGCAAAGAGGTGAAGATGTACAGAAAGAGTCTATCAGCATTTATTAAAGAATATCAAACAGGCAGCACGAGACAGATTAATCTGGTCTAACGTCCCTTATTAAACAGGCAACTCATTCCAACTCTAAATTAATGAGGCATACAGCAAAGTACAAGCTCTTTTTTGAGACACATAAGATTGGTGTCTGTGTGAAATTGGCTGTATGTTAGTTGGACAGGGACTATCTACGAAGTGCAACATCAAACGGCACAATACCTAAATATTCAACTGTAACTTCACTTTTTCTGTATACAGCCCATCTCTGCTGGTTCCACCTGTCCCCAGTTACTTCCCCGTGTCCTTTTTAGTCCTGGCTTTGCCTCACAGTCCTCGTCTGGATTTCTGTTTCATTTGTCTATTGGACTTTGAGTTCTTCTGGACTGTCTTATATGCTTTTTCAGCTCAGTTAAGTTTGTTTTTGTGGTCATTCTTATTCCTGCCAGTGTCTGCTAACTCAAAACAAATTAGTCTTTATTAACATCTACAGACTTCTGGCACTGCTCATGCATTAACATGCAAGACTGCTGCTCAAATTACACAAGACTGTGACAATGGCAATCAGTAAGTTAAACATTTAACCATAAAACAATGTCAAAATGCCTAATCAGCAAATCAAGTTGCCAACACTCAACCACAAACCATCAAAGAATATAACTATTATATGATGAAAGTAGAACATCGTTTGTTATGCTGCACGTTCCAGGCAGATATATTGTCATTCCTGTATAACACATTACCATGCAACACTGCCTCTAAATGAAAAAATAAATGAGCAGTCTTCATAATGACACCATCATGTTTCAGTTCAAACACAAATATTCCACCTCATTTACTTCTCCTTGCATCTTCAACTCCATATACCTTTTCTTTCTTTCTTCTTTATTCCAGTCCTCCATTAAAGCCCTGCGCTGCAGCCTGTTTTTGGCTGACAGTTCATCTGAGGCAGCAGTATGGAGCTTGGGAGGAGTTGGAACTGAAAAATGTCTAAACTTTAGCTTCAGATGCTTTTTTAACATTCAGAGATAGTCCTCCACCTACCAGAGGGACTAAAAAAACAACACAAAAAGAAGAAAAAAAACAATCATACACCAACACCAAGGACTGTTGGGGTGACAATGTAAATATATGCAGACAGTATTCATGGAAATGCTTGGGTGGAAGACCTCAATTTAGTGGCCAAACAGAGTAGGAAGGAAAAGAATATCCTGTGACTCAACTCAGGAATCGGATGTGATAAAGATGGAAAAAAGCACTGTTGTCTCAATATAGGTAAGGGTTATTAAAAAGGGAAACACATGAGCATATTTAATGGCCTGAGATACTACAGTGGGGCAAAAAAGTATTTAGTCAGCCACCGATTGTGCAAGTTCCCCCACTTAAAATGATGACAGAGGTCAGTAATTTGCACCAGAGGTACACTTCAACTGTGAGAGACAGAATGTGAAAAAAAAATCCATGAATCCACATGGTAGGATTTGTAAAGAATTTATTCGTAAATCAGGGTGGAAAATAAGTATTT